TGCCTCCTTGTGGTGATCACTGCAAAGAGGTCAGCTCCCTCTAGCCTTTCCCACTGCATTTCATTCCCCCACACCTCCCCTCCTTTCAGTTGCAGCAAATGTAACAGTCTCTGAGGGACTCCCCAGGCACACTCTGCCCCAGGCCATGTTTGCTGAAGGCAGGGCTGGGGCTATGGAAATGTGTGCGTCAACATCCCTCCCCTTCATGGCAGGTCTTGCCTCTGCTTTGCTCCCAGCCTCCAGAGTCCACAGGTTGTGTGTGGATGGATGCTTTTGTCTCCTTGGGGGCCCTTGACCCAGAGCTATAAGCCAGCAGAAAAAGCCCAAGTGCACTTATGCCTCTGTGTGTTCTAGTATCAGGCAAGCCCTCTGCCTTGCACCATGCGCTGCCTGACACTCTGCCCTATGCTGAAGACAATGTCTGCTGTTCCAGAGCCAGGTGTAGCTAGCCCTAGGCTACCATGCAGCTTGCCACCTGTTCCAGCTGAGCTGTGAGAGATGCTGCTGCCATGTGAAGTTCTGCCTCTGCCCTGGTAGAAAACAGAACAGGCTAACAATGTAAAAACCTCCTTGTACAGGGGTTGTGAATAAAGTAGAGTGAACAAAGGGGAAGCAGTCTTTTATTGCTTTGAGACCGCACAACTCCAGCAGCAGAGCAAGAGTGGCCACAAGGGCATCCTAAAGCAAACAATCTTTCCTTCTGTAAAAATGCATTCCAGTGCCTTCCCCCTTTCCTGCCAAAGATGGATGAAAAACAAATCTTAGCTTGTGTTGCCTGGTTTGTGCATAGGCTGGAGGACAGAGAAGGAGTAGGACAAGGACAGCCCTGTGCCACTAACTAGTATGCACATGTCCAGCCAGGCCTTGGTGCGCATGTTGGATTTAGTAAGATAATAAAAATGAATGATTGAAATGGGAAATTTCCCTCCCTAACAACCTAAACCTCTTAGGGAAGTAGGTTGCTGAAAATGTCCCCACAGATGCTGCTCCCGTACCTGAGCTGCACGCCTGCCAGCAGCTGCTTTAATGAACTACAATAACCTGCAATCCCTTCACAGAAGCATTTATTACAGATACAGAAGGCAGTGGTATGTGCCAGCACCTGGCTTAGCTCTCCTCTTGCCAGTATTTCCCCTGTAAAAAGGTCAATGTGGACAAGAGCTTCGCAGCAACCTCCCTGCAGGAAAGAGGTTCTCACACTGGCCTTTCCCCACAGTGCCACAGGGTCACTTCTGCTGGCCAAGCCCCTTCCCCTATACAACTGGATCAGGACTGGGCTGGTCATCCCCACCCCATCCTGGGCTAGGTGAAGCCCCAGCCAAGCCCCTTTCTCTACAAAGCTAGGTTGCCCCCAGTTCCCCTGTGCAGCTGCATGGAGTCCCACTACTGTGCCCACCACTGGCTCTGTGTGGGGACCACCGGGCAGATGTGGCTCACCAAGGGACCAGGAAGGGTGCTGGGGAAAAGGGCTGGTGCCCCAGTCCAACCTGCCCATAGTGACCCTCTCAGAGGCCAGGGTGCACAGCGTTGCCACTGACGGGTGAAGTGGGGCCGCCGCAATGCAGCCAGCGGTCCCGGGAGACTCCGGCGCCGGCCCGCACGGGTCTGGCTGCAAGGGAAGTCCCTGCCTGCTCCTCTCCCTCCGGCTCAGTGCACCGCGGGCCGAGTCAGCTGGTCGCGCTCTTGGCCGCCCCGTCCGTCGCCGCCTCCTCCCGGTCGCCGAAGAACCACTCCTGGGCCAGCGAGTGGAAGACGTAGCCGTCTGCGCGCCCGCTCAGGAAAACACCGGCACCGCCCCTGGCCCGCCCCGGCCCCCACCTGCCCC